TAGCACCTGTTAGGGTCCCAGCTATGGGCAAATAGTTAACCCCCAAACTGGGGTCAAAATATTATGAAAGTGTAAAAATAGGTTTTACTACATACCAGAAATACTTTGTAAAAAAAGAAAAAAAATTATTACAAGCAATACATTTTTAGAAAAATGATATTACCAACTATAGTTACCATATATTACCAGCAATAAAAAATTTGTCGGCATTAAACAACCCATTGAGTTTGATATGCCGTAATACAGACCAAACCAACAAAACCTACACATGCAACAAATATAAATGTACTTAGAATTATCTAGTTTACATGCAAAGTTTATTTTATTAAGAGTTCTTTTCCAAACGCTTTCGGACGATTCATAATCATCCTATAATCTATTGGCTGGCAAGCATATAATTGCCCTCGTGATAGTATTTTCTACTGCATTGACAAACATGGCGAATTCCTTGATGCATTTGCCGTCGATAGTTTTTATGCCACTGCGTGATCATCGATTGTCTCATCGATTCTTTAATGGGTCAAGTGGAGCAGCAGAGGGGTCGATCAAAAGGACAGTGTTGAAATGTTATCGGAATACACTGATATATGTCTTTCTTTATGCATATGAGGATCAACACACACACACACACACACATGCATGGTAATTATTCGGTTGAGCTCTTCGCTATGGTATCTAGATTCTATGCTTTTTTTTTTAGCACTTCTCTCTTGTGGAACTCCCTTCCAGCTCCATGCTTTCCAGCCAACTGCAATCTAAAAAAAAATAAATGCAATATCAATCACTATCTACCGTCCTCCTGATTACTCTTTTCTCTCCTTGCTCATTAATGTTTCTGCTCCTAATTCTTTCGCACCCTGTACCCACTTGCGCTTGAGTGGCTTTACCTCCTTTCTTGGAGGTGATACCGCTCAAAAAAAAAAAAAAAAAAAAAAAATACACACATTAGCCGCCAACGGCTGCTACTCAAAATAATTAATATTTGTGTTGCCTCGGCATGGAGCAGTGATTAGCAAACAACTGTCGAGCAGACATCGACAGAAAGGAGTTCAAACCTCAATTATTTCCCCCCACCGCCATTTTTTGAATTCATGCCATATTATTTTCACCATTAGGCCACGAGATTATTGATGTAGCTTTGAGTTTCAAATGCCCGGACAATTATATATTTTTGGAGAAAAAATCAACCCGGGACATTCTTATTTCCAAATCCCCCTTTATTCAATATTCAGGACATTTCATCAAGGATGCCAGTTGCGATGTTGACCTAATGCCGTCTATCGACCGCCGAGTGCAAAATCACGTGACCTCACATCTGCACGCTAGCTTACAACCGAGGGATTGGGTGATTGATTTGTTTTACGATTTACCAACACTTTGTGGGTTATTTAAATCCGAAAAATATTTTTTTTAATTCCCTATGAATAATCCATTTTCTTTCTTTCTTTTTTTTTCAAGTGAATATTGTATTAATAATTTTGGATATAAATATAAATTCAATAATAATGATATACAAGCGTAAGAGCGAACGGCATGACAGAGATAGATCGATAAACTTTTATCTCCGTTCTGAGTAGAGAGTCTCTCAGACTTCGCAGATGAGACTGTAAGTAACGGAAGATTCAAGTCTCGTCTTATCACTTAATTAGCATACACGCTTCATTACAGATATGTTCACAAATGCAGTAGTAATTGAATATTGCTGCAATATCTTGTCTGGAGCTTCTACTATATCTCTCTCTTGATATTGACAAAAAAACAAAAGAAGGGTCTGTAATATAATCGATCTTAACCTGGCATCTCGACTTCAGTCACTTTCTTACCGACGTGAAAGTGACCTCCCTCTGTCTTTTTTACAAATATTTTTTGTGGCAAATGTTCTGATGAGCTTTCCTCCTCGACTGCTTGAACGTAAGCGTGCTACCAGATTGACAACTAAGTCTCACTATTTTTGAGCTAGCAAAACGCAACTGTATTTTCTATTCTAATCGTTACTTTTTTCGCACTTCTCGCCTGAGGAGATCTCTTCCGACTTCTTGTTTCCTTACAATCTTCAAAAATTTCAAATGCAACGACAATCGCCATTTTCTGCCTCCCCGAGATCTGTCCTTTTATTGTCCTTCCTCCTCACTAAAGTCTTCCCATTTACTTTAACTCCGAGTAACTTCCTGTCTCCAAGTAGCATTATTGCCTTGCTTTGGGGTCGGGGATTATCTAAAAATATATTTTTTTGGCAGTGTCTGATACATCGCAAACGAGAATGTAAGGTCTACGCATCGGGCTTGGGGAGACGGGGTCGTACACCGCAGACGACGAAGTTAGAAGTTGAATAAAATGTATTATTATGTAAGGGGAGATTCAAGTTTCGTGTTATCATTAGACTCAAGGTCTATTTTCTTACAGAATGACTTAACTTTTTTAACTGAATAATTATACATATAATCACTCTCTTATGCTAATAACGCTTGTTTTTATTTCTAGCCAGCAATAACCCCTTTCTAACAAGGTTTGGTCTGCTTTCTTTTACGGAATATTAACCTCAGTGGGTTATTTAATGCTGAGAAAATTATTATTGCTGGTAATATATATATATATATATATATATATATATATATATATAAAAGGCAGGATATGTGTGTGTAACGAATGCACAGCCATAATTTTCGACGGATTTGCACCAAAATTTATATGCACATGCTCCATGTTAGCGGGAAGGCCAAGACCGACTTTGCATTTCCCAACTCCCATTGATAGTGGAAATAATCGATTTTTACATGCTTCTATGGCAGTTTTCATGTAGTTTGCGGCCATTTTCTACTGGCCAGAACGAGAGCCTATAGCTGGCTGCCACGAATAGACAGGAAAATTCTACTGGCGAGCGTGAGAGCCAACAGCTGACTGACACGAATGTTAACTAGCATGCTAGCATGCAAAAAAATCGATAGCTGCATTCGTCACAAGTGGGAAAAATTTAAATCTGCATGGCACTTTACTCCAATTGGCTCATTCGCTTGCTTAAACTCAACGTTGATTCTGATTCCGAAGAACTGGGTTGGGTGTGAAAAAGGTATTTGTTGTTAACATTCTTTTTTCATTCGGTTTTTCCAGTTACGAGTCCTTTTTTAAAGCTGATCGTTTTGTGTTCATTTTGTTTAGTTCTTTTTTCGTAACAGATTTAATGTTTAGTATAGAGCTTAAAAAAAAATCGCAGTGTGAGATAGGCAAGAAGTAAAGCATGTAGCAATATCAGCACGGCAAAGGGCACTCCTTTAAAGGCAATGAAGGGCAAAAATATTTTAAGTCAAGTGATAGCGATTGCTGTATGAGTCGTATGATTTTTGAATCAAGCACGGGCAACGCCAGGCCATGCTACTAGTGTGTATATATATATATATATATATATATATATATATATATATATATAATTTTTTTCAAAAATGTATTTCTGGTAATATTTTTCTTCAAAAAATGTATTTCTGGTAATATTTTTTCTTCAAAAATGTATTGCTGGTAACATCCTTTTTCTTCAAAAATGTATTGATGGCTATATCTTTTTTTCTAAAAAAGTATTGCTTGTAATAATTTTTTTACAAAGTATTTCTGGTATTAAACCCTATTTTTACACTTTCATAGCGTTTTGACCCTAGTTTGGGGGTTAACTATTTGCTCGTAGCTAGGACCCTAACATGTGCTACCACCCCCGGTCAGGATGGACCTGGGAACACCAGCAATTAAGAGGTGGTTCAACGCTTCTCAAAACCTCCTGATCGGAGACCTTGCTGTTGGACGTTGTTTATCGTCTTACCCAGGAGGCGGATGTAGTTTATCGTCATACCCAGGACGGTTCTAACAAGGAAAAGGTATTTCTTTTGCATAGTATATATCTATTCGTCAGCAACAAAAAAATCAATACACTTAATTCAGTAGTAATTAGGAGGCATGGTGGAGTAATGGATAGCGGTTCGGACTCAGGAATCGGAGAGCCAAGTTCGAATTCCAGTCAAATCTATTACATTCACTTACATGCTAATACTTTTCGAAAGGCATGAATCCTATTATTCTCCCCCCCCCCCCAGCTATGGGTAAATAGCAGGACAGACCGGGTTCTGCAGCCTTGGATTGCAACTGGTCTACCACCAGAAATGGTAACCTACTGCGGGAAATAATCTGCCTCGTCAGTCATATACCCAAAGATACATGATCGCCTAAGAGTGTATCACGCATAGCACATAACTGACTGATTTTATGATAGTATTGAGTCGATGAATATTGGATATTTAAACAAATCTTTTAAATTAAAGTCCAATATTCAATTTATCTATTATATAATTATTTTAGCGGTTCGGTAACAAATGATCCACGGATCGGTATCGGCCCGCGACCCGGTGTTTGGAGACCGCTGGACAAAGGTAGGCTGGGGGAAATCTCATACATAGTATTGTATTTACATGATACTTATTTTTGTTGGAGGAGGGCTATTATTGACAAATGTTTCGCTTTTCATTTGTCCTCTGCGCAGCTATGCTCAAGTCATTTACTATGTTCTGTCTTTTATTTTCTGAAATCTCCATGGTTTTGTTTTCGCATCTTTGGCTTTAAATTTGACCGAGCTTTTCTTTTACCTCTTATGTCGTCTTAGTCTATTATTCTTCGATGGCTTTTAATTTCTATTTCATCGTCATTAGGCTTTCATTTTAAGTCTGACCCAATACCTTCACTTACTGACGATCGAGTCGGGCAGTAAATTGACTTTTGCTATTGTTAATAATTCTCTTATGTGAATAGCGCCAGTTCTTTCTAAGTTCGCTACTTCTTGAAATCTTTCCAAAAATCTTCGTGTGTGTTGTAAGCACTCTAATAATGATGAGTATTCTAACCCCACCATATTTCCCGCCATTAACCTGGTTCACGGCCAACGATAAAATATTTCCGTCGCTTTTGTGGTCTGTTAAACCACAATTATTTCTTTTCTCTTTCTTCTTCTTCTTCTTCTGTTACTGCCTTATCACATCGAAATACCGGCCCGTACGGTCACCGAAGTTAAGCAACGTTGAGCCTGGTCAGTATCTAGATGGGTGACCGCTTGGGAAAACCAGGTGCTGTAAGCTTGGACGTGCGGTTGAGGTAATTGATAACGGCTCGGAATTGAAAATCGGAAAGCTGAGTTCCAATTCCGGTCCGGTTCGTTATATTACGCACAAATACTGTTGGAAAAGGTCTGAATTCTCCTCTTCTAGTCCCCATCTATAGATTAATTAGTATGAATTGTATCAGTAAATCATTATTCTCCCCCACAAATCTAAAAAAGCTAAAAAAAATTTCAACAGCAACATGTTGATAAACCGTAAAAAAACAAATCGATCTTCTTCACATGAAAATTTATAATTTTCTTGAGTTTGATCTATTCAAGCTTTAATGTTGGTTATTATTATTATTATTATTATTATTATTATTATTATTATTATTACTGGTTTACTCGTAATATATAAAATACACCCGTATTTAATTAATTTTGCAAGTAAAATATTATAACTGGTTACATTTTCTTCACCAGTAATCTACGATATTTATTTTTACAATGAATTCTACTAGGGTAATGCTAATATTAGCCTTTTCCTTATAAGGAAACATTGCTGCTGCTCTTCCTATTATTGATGGGGATTTCCTTTCTAACCTTTTGTTTAATGTAGTATGGAATAACGACATCTTGATTATGTCATTATTTTCTGTTCGTGTTACATGTGCTTGTCATTTTAGCTGTTGCTGTTGTTAAAGGTGCCGTTGCTATAGTTGCATCAAAGAAAAAAATCAGCCTTTTAAATCAATAAAAGTAATATATATATATATATATATATATATATATATATATATATATATATATATATCCAAACAAAGCAAACACGAAACAAAAAGCCAGCTGTTGTCATTAATTACATATGAAATATTGTTTTTATAGTATTACATTTTCAAAGACACATTCGTTTATAATTGTTAATAAACAGGCAGCCTTTCTTGACGATCCGCTTAGGTGAAACCTTGGTAGGTTTGTCTGGCTCTCTAGGTTTAACTAGGTCTGCTCTACTTATTACATTGAGCACTTTATTTAGTTATTTTGCCTACTCCTATCGGGTTTTTTTTTCTTTGGGCTTTGGACTTGCATGCTAGACGATTATTTTCGGTTAAGGTACATGTTCTTGGTTCTTTCTTTTTTTATACCTTTTTTCCCTTTGGTATTGGCTTGTTTATTTGCAATTCAATATACTGAAGGTTTTCCGAGCGAGTATAGTTTCCTATACTTATAAGATTTCTATTATATATATATATATATATATATAACACGTTGTATTTTATATTAGTATCAGTGGTAGTAATGGTTAGCGGCTGGGGTTGAGGAATCGGAGAGCCGAGTTCGAATTCCCGTCAGATATTCACTTACGTGGGAAAGAATGGATTCTCTCAGCTGTGGGTAAATAGCAGGACAAATTGGGTTTTATAGCTTTGAGTTGCAACCGGTCTAAGAGAAAGTAAATCTGAATTCCGAAATATAGCCATGGCGTAGCACATACTATACAGCTAAAGAAAGGACCGTTCCTATTGGCTTGATGATCCCGACTACGGTCGAATAATCATAATAATGATTAGTAGTAGTAATTCCAACTTATATTGGTAACTTCTACATATTGTTGTTCTCAGTGAGTTTATTGGTATACTTCCAAGGTTCACTGGAAAGTAATATTTTCCCAATGTATCTATTACAAAAAATATAGGGCAACGTTGAAGTCATGCCACAAACTTTAATTGGATGTCAAAACAATAAGTATAAAACAAGGTCTTTATTTTTAGGCAATAATTGTTTCGGACATGCATTTTTTTTAATCACTTCACCACAGGCAAGGCAATAAAGTCACTAAGACGCAAAGGGTTACTAAGTGAGAAATAAACTAAAAAAAAAGAAAAAAGAAACGTTATTGCGAAGAGCGAACAATAAAAGAACGGGATTTAACACTTTGAGTCCTGGCCACTGTTTTAGCGTTGATAGAGAAAAATAACGTAATGCCCATCCACCGGTTGAACGGTGGGTAAACATTTGTAACTATTTTTATATCTACCCTAAAACACCTCTATCTATAAAAGGCAGGATGTGTGTGTGTGTGTGTGTGTGTTTTCCGGATTATTATCTTTAACTTTCTGTTTTTAGCAGATTTCGATCGATACAATCTTCGATGTTCTTCAGCTGTCCAGCTATCGATAGTTCCTTTAATGGAGAACATCAACGCCACGAAAATAATTAGTCTGAGTAATATGGTAGGTAGTGTTTATGCGGAACATGGCATCGAATTTCATATTGCCAGGATGTGTGTGTGTGTGTGTGTGTGTGTGTGTGTAACGAATGCATGGCCGCAATTTTCGACGGATTTGCACCAAAATTTACATGCACATGCTCCAAGTTAGCAGGAAGCCCAAGACTGACTTTGCATTTCCCAACTCCCATCGATAATGAAAATAATCGATTTTTTTCATGCTTCTACGGCAGTTTTCATGTAGTTTGCGGCCATTTTCTACTGGCCAGAGTGAGAGCCTATAGCTGGCTGCCAAGAATAGGCGGAAAGATTCTATTGGCAAGGTTGAGAGCCAAAAGCTGACTGACACGAATGTTAACTAGCATGCTCGCATGCAAAAAAAAGTGGGAAAAATTTAAATCTGCATGGCACTTTACTTCAATTGGCTCATTCGCTTGCTTAAACTCAACGTTGATTCTGATTCCGCAGAACTGGGTTAGGTGTGAAAAAGTATTTGTTGTTAACATTCTTTTTTTCATTGCTTTTTCCAGTTACGAGTCTTTTTTTTAAAGCTGATCGTTTTGTGTTCATTTTGTTTAGTTCTTTTTTCGTAACAGATTTAATGTTTAGTATAGAGCTTAGAAAAAATTCGCAGTGTGAGATAGGCAAGAAGTAAGGCATGTAGCAACATCAGCACGGCAAAAGGCACTCCTTTAAAGGCAAGGAAGGGCAAAAATATTTTAAATCAAGTGATAGCGATTGCTGTATGAGTCGTACGATTTTTGAATCAAGCACGGGCAACGCCCGGCCATGCTGCTCGTTACATAATAGTTATTTGCGAATTTTGACTCAGGTGCTCAGGCAGAAGCGTTTAAATTTTTCAGGAACGCAGAACTCAAAGGGTTAGAGAGATAAAAGATGATGATTGATGTTGCCTTTAATATTTTGAAGATCTTACTTAAGAAGATAAGAAGCCGGAAAAAGAGTTTTACAAGCGACAAGTGCAAGAGAAAGAACTCTTAGCATAGAGCTTACGGTTACATCTAGCCATTTCAATTGTAAAATGATGAGACCTAGCTGCCAATCTAGTACTGCGCTTGAAATCGTAAAGCCGAAGAAGTGAGATCACCAGAAAAATTACCTTGAAAGTATATATAAGAAGTATATTTTGTAATTTCTGAGCACCTGAGTCAAAATTCGCAAATAATTATTATGTAACTAGCAGCATGGCCCGGCGTTGCAATATAGAAAAGACACGGAAAAGCCAAATAACCAGTGAGAGTCGAACCTTATGTCTGTACGAGTAAATATTCTAGATATTTACTAAGCTTTTCGTGGTGGGAAAGTTACTGAAACCGAGATATCAGCTCAGGACCGATAATATTGCAGATTCTTCTTTTGATTCTGTCGAGTTACATACCAGAAGGACCAGACCAAATGTGGCAACAAAGCTCAATGTATGTTCGAATGGTAGACTTATAAAGGTGTAATATAGATTCTGGTGTGAATAATCGTCAATTACGACACAATCAACCAATTTTCCGAGCAACAGACCGAGCAGTTGTAATTCAATATAATCTTTCCATTTCTTGAGATCAACAAATATCATTATTGTTATACTGGAACACACCTATTCTATAGTTAATAGACTCTCCCACCTATAATAAGTAGTAGTAGCAGTCGCTAAGTCGCTGAGTGAGTTGGTCAGTCAGTCGATGTCGGACGACCGTTAGTCGGATATTAAAGTATCAGCCACCACAACTAGATTGCTGCGTCATTAACTGTTATATTAAGTTTCTAAGTTTTTTGCGTCGAACCTATTTTAGGACCGACTTAGTGAAATACAAGCCTCCACTGTGAAACTTTTATCACATTTCAATTACAATGATATTGGCACTTACTTAGTTGCTTCTCTTAACCGCATTGTTGAACAGAATCAATTATTTCATCTTGGTTTTTGTCCAGAAATCATTAGTAAATTTGGTTTCCCACAACAGGATCATCTGGATAATAAATCTATCTTACTCTCGTACAAAATTACAAATGTGAAGTAAGTAGCGATCGGTTGGTTGGTTGACTTCATCTAGCGACTTCTATGGGTTATTTAAAGCCAAATTCTAAATATTTTTTACGCAATTTTATTTTATTTTATTTTTGAGATAATAATGGTGTTAGTGATACAAGCCTTACTAATTAACCCATAGCTTGGGGGAAAATAGATGGTTTCATATCTCTCCGAAGGATATTTGCGTGTAAGTGAATATAAAAAAAAAAACCAACTGAAATTCGGCTCTCCAATTAACCAATTTGAGCCAGTATCCATTAAACCACACTCGCATTCAAGCTTACAGCAACTGGCATTCCCAAGCGGTCACTCATCTAAGTACTGACCGGGATCGACGTTGCTTAACTTCGGTGATCGTATGGGAATCGGTGTTTCAATGTGATGCGTCCGTAAGGCAAATATCCGGTGAGTGTCGAACATTAGAATAATGGTCTCTGCAACGAGGCGTTCTAGATATTTACTAAGCTTAATTCGATTCAGACAGTTTTTTTTTTCAAAAACTCCTGCGTGGTTGCTCTCCTGAACGCTTTAACCTTGACTTATACGAGCCAAGGGTCAATCCTCGTCTTTCTTCCTAATCCTCATAATCTTCCTACCACGTTCTGTTTCATTCAAATCACACACCACATTCATTATTCATCATCATCATCCTTCGACCTCCCTATGGTTGGTCGGAACTCCATTGACATTTCCTTTGCACACTGTTCGCTCCTGCATTGCTGTCCCCAGAACCTCAATGTCCCGAGATTTGATGTCAATTTTCGTGAGAAGACACTTCCAGAAGGATGCCATAGAAGTAAGTACGAGACGATTTCCCTGACCGCTCGGTGGCAGTGTCCGACAAACTGTAATCGTGAAGACCTTGTTAGTAGCGTGGCTCGGCTTAACGTCCTGTAAATCTTAAATCAAAATCAAAATCATCGACGCACAATAATTCACATTAATTTGACTGGATAGTTCCACTCAATAATCACTCAATAATCCCTGCAGTCAGTAATCTGACATCGCAATTTATACACCTGGTGGAAAACATATTTTGATAAATCCAGAGTGTCACGTTCGAACCTCGGTGTCAATAGTTACTCATTTTCTTCCTATATGACATAGATAAATAATAGTTCAAAGGACTTATCTTCTGACTTCAAGTTTCGCAGATAAACCGCTTTTCAAAGTAGGATAAATCTACTGAATTCATTAACGGGTATCCAATTAATATACGCTGCAAAGCTACAAAACACTAATCGTTGACTTCAAATAAATTTCAAACCAGCTCTATTATAAAATGTAATAAAGTGATAACGTTTAAACGTTAAAAATGTATCATCATCATCATCCTTCGACCTCCCTATGGTTGGGTGGAATTTCATTGGCAATCCCTTTGCACACTGTTCGGTCCTGTATTGCTGTCCCCAGGTCCTCAATGTGTCACGAGCTTTGGTGACAATTTTCGTGAGAAGACACTTCCAGAAGGATGCCATTGGAGTAAGGATGAGACGATTTCCCTGTCCGCTCGGTGGCAGTGTCCGACAAACTGAGAGAGAGAGAGAGAGAGAGAGTCTCAGTTCTCCGTAAATTGTGTTAAGCGCTGCATAGGATCATCAAATGATGTTCTGGATTTTTCCAAGTAGATTTCTATATATTCCTTCAAGTCGCCTTTCAAGACGAGCAGATAAAATCCAAGTTTCAGATCCATACAGTAGGAATGGTTCAATCAAAGTTCTTTCAGCAGCTGATACAAAATGTGGAATGCCAAACCTACATCCGGGTGTTTTTGTCAAGACACCATCTCTAGAAAGACTGCCACCTAAGGCTACAGATGTCTTTCATCATTACTCTAAGCATCTACATTGAGCGTCTCCCACGCTTTGTATTGGGTAAATTTTTGTACTTAAAAAACAAAAAAACAAATTTAGTAATTAAAAACCCAGAAAATATTAGTGTTGCTTTTTCTACCCTGTGGTGAGTTAGAGGCAAGATGGTGGGAAGATCGCTGGATAAAGCGGTTGATGCCTCTCTTAAAATGAATAGGTTTTCAGCCTGTTCTATTTTCTGTGCTGTTAGCTGTCGCACGTTGATGCCTATTTGGCAGATTATTTTAACGAGCAACGAAGTTTGTCAATGGAAGAAAAGCTTCCCACGTGTTTGCCTCACTGAACACTTCAAGGACAACGTCATCATGTCATTTGTCATCTTTACGACTTAGCCTTAGAATCTTCATTTCCTACTAAACTTTTCTTCTATCACATACCATCGGTTTGAAGCTGAAAAGGCGTATGGGTGCATCTCTAAATTTCTAGACGACCAGAGATCGCCAGTTCTCCTCTTGGTAAAAAAAAAAAACTAGCTGGTTACATTTAACGTTTCGAAAACCAAATAATCATCGCCGAACCATGACCAATCGCGATGAATGAGGGAGGCCCATGCCTTGAGCGCCTATTGGGATTCAAACTCAAGCCAGGTCTCAGGTGGAACTAGGTCATACGATCAAACACTAAAGATGCTTAGAAAATGATCGGTTCCCTGCGATTCTCCAGTGAGTAGCTGACTCCTTCTGCTATCTTCTATTTTTACAAGAGCCAGGTCAGGCCAAAAATGGACTACTGTTTCCATATATGGGCATGAGCTGCCCAGTCTTCACTTTCCAGTCTCGTCGATAGAGTCTAAAAGCGTCTCTGCGTCCTTGTAGGTGACAGATTATTTTCCACCCTACAAGCACTTTCCTCACAGACAGAACGTTGTACTCGTCTCGAGACTCTATGGCTAACTCCATGGAAAGTGCTCAGACGAACTTAGTTCCACCTGTTCTAACCTTCAAGGCCAAGACCCGCTATGCTAAGCACATTTTAGCGAACCACCCCTATTCCCTTCGTATTTCATTGGTGCGATGCAAATTCCATCTAAGCAGCTTTTGCCACGAGCCACTGCTCTGTGGAACCAACTCCCAAGTGGATGCTTCCCCGATCACTACAATCTTAGCCTGTTCAAGTCTGGGGTTAACCGTTATGTTTCCTTCATAGCCCACTAACTTCATTTCTTACCCTTTCTTATGCTCATATAACTGCACACAGTAGGGCTACAAATTAGTATAAATAAATAAATAAATAAAGCGGAGCAGGAGGAAACAGTTTAAATTCAAATGGATGTCTGATAGAACAAGGAAAATAAGGGATGATTAAGGCTCAAAGGTTTCTTCCAGCAACAGGCTTGCTCACCTCCCGAAAGGATAAGGTATATTTTTTTACAATGATGCTCAACATGTACTAAACCCAAAGAGCCACTCGAGGTAGAGGGTTACAGTGTAAGAGGTACCACCCCAATCAAGGTGATAATGCCACCAAGATACAAGTGAAAAAGAAGGAAAAGACTTTAGAGGGAACAGGAAACCCAGTCCAAAACAGGAAACAAGGGATAAACCTCAACTCCTGTTAAAAAAAAAAACGGGGAGGAGTGTGAACCGGACGATAGAAAAACGCATCTGCTCCTGCTGAAGGAAGAAAAAATGTAATTAAATAAATAAGGAAGCAGAAACCTAATCCTAAACTAGAAACAAGGGATAAACTTCAATTCTTTTTCAAAAGAGTGTGGAGGAGTGTGAACCGGACAATAGACAAACCTATCTACTCCTGTTGAAGGAAGAAAATATGTAAATAAATAAGGAACCAGAAACCCAATCCTAAACTGGAAACAAGGGATAGACTTCTACTCTTTTCAAAAGAGTGTGGAGGAGTGCGAACCGGGCAATAGACAAATCTATCTACTCCGGTTGAAGGAAGAAAATATGTAAATAAATAAGTAACCAAAAACCTAATCCTAAACTGGAAACAAGGGATAGACTTCTACTCCTGTTCAAAAGATGGGAAGGAGTACGGACTGGGTGATAGGCAGACCTAAAAAGAACTTTGGTCTGAGGCTACAAGTGGTTGGGAATGAGTATTAAACTTACTATAATAATGAGCTGAGATGTTAGCTTACTAGACATTTTTCCACGGCAAAGTAAGTAGCAGTCGCCGGGTGTGGGCTTTGGGTATTATTGTTATTTTTTTTCTACTGCCAGCGACTGCTAGCATTCTCGCTCCTCCTCCTTGTCAATGGGATCTACGTTATTTTGGCTCGATGCAGAACGCAAGTCGGTTCGGGCCGCTTGCCGGGATTGTGTGTCTGACATAGACTACCCGTAACCATGGCAACCATCTACCTCAGCTGCTGCCGAAAGCAACTCTCTCTCTCTCTCTCCCTCTTTCTTTCTTTCTTTCTTTTTCTCTCTCATTGCTAAATATTACATTACTACTCCAACTTCAAAAACAGTAACACCGACCCTCCACGGCGAACTCCTACTGCTGCTATTACGGCTGTCTGCCACAGAGCAATGACGAGTACGGTTCCTTGAAGAAGATTATTTATTATTAAAGTGAATTAGATCTTCACTCGGTGCTTAATTATTGAGACCTTGTGCCAGACGTGCTGAACTTGATAAAAATAAATAAAAATATCTCCCTCCGCGCTGATAACACAAACTTATAACTACTATACTACTAATAATAATAATTTGGGCACCTGCCGTAGAGCAAGCCCATTTTCTCACACAAATAGCGCCACAATGAGCGGGGCTGAATCAGATGTTAAAAGTGGAGGTGGCTAAAATCGATACAAATATTGTTTTAAAGTTTCCTGGTTCTGTAATTGTTTTTACTTGATTCTCACGTTAAGATGAATATTTTTTTGAAGATCTATAATCTTCATGCAAATATTTTTATTAATTATTATTATTATTTTTAATAAAATAAAAGTTTTTCTTTTCATTGGTACTTATTTTCTGGGTCGTGACCTACGGTCTTTATTTTCCCGCGTGTCAGTCAGTTATGTGCCATGCATGATACACGCTTAGGCGATCATGTATCTTCCGATACATGACTGACGAGCCAGATTTTTTTTATCCCGAGGTAGGTTGCCATTTCTTTCTGCGGTAGACCAGTTGCCATCCAAGGCTATAGAACCCGATCTGTCCTGCTATTTACCTATAGCTGGGGATGGGGGAGAAAAAGTGTATTCGTACCTTTCCCAAGGGTATTAGCATGTAAGTGAATGTAATGGATTCGACTGGAATTCGAACTCGGCTCCCCGATTCCTCGGCGAGAAGTGTTTTTTTAGTCGATAATGGTTGAGAAAAAAAAAATGGAGTTTTTAAATTTATTTTGAAAAGTGATGTCTGTAATGTTTTTTAGACAAATTATACAGCTCAGATGCATTTAGTTCTCAGTTTCAACAAAAAGATGCGTAGATATGGAGAGATTATAGTCGCTAGTGTACTGAGTTCGATCCTTACTGGTACCCCAGTTATTGAGTTTTCTACTGGTTGAAGCTAAAACCACATCTGGAGT